GATGGGAAAGCAAACACAGAGGGCAAGGGAGGACACGCCAAAAGTAAGGGGTGAGGGCACACCCTCCGGTGTGGCTCCGCAGACTGCGCTCCAGCCTGCAAACTGCAAGGTCGCTGGTTCGAGTCTCAGCCAGGGCACGTGCCTAGGTTGAGGGCCAGGCCCCCCCACCAGTTGGGGGCGCATGAGAGCCAGTTGATAGATGTTATCTCTCCCTTCCTCCCTCTTCCCCTTTCTAAATATAAATTAGTTTTTTGTTTTTTTTTTAAGGAGAGGGCAGAAGATGACAGTGCGCAGCACAGCAGGACAGCAGAGAAAACACTTGCACGTCCTCGGTGGATGTTTGCACAGTACACAGACTGAGGCAGGACGAGAGCGGAGGGCACAGAGCGCCTCTCAGGTGGAGCACGGGGGCTCCCGAGGCTGCGACAGGTCCCGGGAGACACTTAAACAAAGGGCCGGCACACGGGAACCGCGTCTGGCAGAAGAGCGCCCCCAGCAGGACAGAGCGTGTGAGACAGTAACGAGCTCAGTGAGATGCCCTGTGACCAGGCCTGGAGGAGGCCCTGACGGCCGTTTCCAACCTCCCAGGTGGAGGGCGGGCCAGGAGCCGCCCAGCAGCCTCCGCATCCCCAACCCGGGAGGGCGGGACAACGGGTCTGCTGGACCCTCCGGGGAGCAGGGTGCCCTGCCCAGTGACGCTCATGCCCTGATTTTACCTGTGAGACTCACTGGGGACGAGTGACTTCAAGAACTACCAAATAAATCTGTGTGGTTTTAAGGGAGGGAGGGAGGGAGGGAGGGAGGGAGGGAGGGAGGGAGGGAGGGAGGAGGGAGAGGGGACGCAAGAGTTGGAAAATTTTAGTTTGAGTGACAACTAATAAGCTTAGCAATCAATGCATGTAAAAGCTATTGTTCCAGGAACTGAAGGTGGGACCCACCGACTCCAGACCACCAGCAGTTCCCCCTTTGTGCCCCGGGAGGCCAGCAAGCCATCAAGGTGGCATCTGAGCCACGTCCCCCACAGTGAGATGACCGCCACCCAGGGCCAGAATGTCGCAGTTTTTTAATCCAATTAACTTTTCCCCAAATCCCAAACCCCTTACCTACACTTTGTTCTCCTTATAAAAAGGGCTATTATAAAGATGGAATTTAAGCCTGTTAAGGTATGAACCCACCGTCTTCTCGGATCGAGGACAATCTGAGTAACACCCCCATGAAGATTCAATCCCTGTCTCTGCTTATGGGGTTTGGTGTGTGACAGGCAGCAGGAACGCTGGGTTTTTCCAATTTCGGAAAGAAGGAAGGAAGGGAGGGAGGGAGGACTGAAGGACAAGTAAATTCGGGTCTCTGCCTCCAGAGAAATGAGGGCAGAGGCTGGAGCCAGGATGGCACTACTGGGAGAGAAGGGGACAGCAAGGCAGTGTCTGTCAGGGGCCCAGACAGCGCAGGGGTTCCAGGACGAGGACCACGCCGCTGAGAACAGGGGAGTCGGGCAGAGCGGCGGGTGGAGCGGGACGAGACACGGGACAGTTTGTTGGGATAATGGGACCCCACGGAGGAGCAGGACCAGACAAGATGTCACAGCAAGTCACGGAGCCTCTCCCACCACGAGTTCCAGTCAGGCAAAGTGACAGCTGTCCTCGTCCTCGGGGAGAAAGGGTCAGCGACGAGTCCTGCTTCCAGGGCGACTGTTACCAGGGACCTGTCTGTCCCCAGAGAGGGATGCCCCTACTTCCTTCCCTCACCCAGTCCCCGCTGTCGCCACCCCCACTGTGCCCCCACTGCGTCTCACAGCCTCCCCACCCACTTCGTTTCTCCTCTGTGCCATTAATCAAGGCACCAGTAACATCGGGAGGGGGACGCTGCACCTGACAGTGTCCCAGTTCTCTCACCAATTTCCAAGAGCAACACTCTAACCCAAGCATCTGGAGTCCCGCCTCCCCCCTCCGCCTGTCTCTGTGGTCACGTCACTCGGCCCACACGTGACCACAGCCCTTCAAGGCGTCATCGGATAGAGTGTCCCTTCACTGAGTCAGTTCTCCTCCCCACAAGTCAGGCGGCGTAGCCCCAGGAAGGGTTTCTGGCTGAGGCTGGAAAGACATCAGGGAGCAGAACCTTCCAGAGACATCCCAGAACCCGCAGTCCTGGGGTGGGGGGCACACAGTACGATACAAAGAACACAGAACCCCGGAATCGGAGCCTGACAGCGGGCTGAGTCAGCCTGAACTCCGACCCAGGCTCCTCACCTCAAAAGGGGCTGGAGCAAGGGGACTTTGCAACACACCGGGGCAATGATGCTGTCTCTGGACTAACACCCAGCCACAGAACGCCTGGAAATGCCACCCACCTGTTCAAAGACCTCCACTTCAATGGTGCTTACTTACACATTTAAGTCAAAGAAATGAACGACAACATTAATATCATTTTTTACTCTTAGCAGTATGTTGACCCCAAAACAAACCATTTCTCATTAAGCCAATCAAAATCCAACGAACGCATCTGATGACCACCACGCACCCACGGACCCTGGGCACCGCCCGGTGCGAATGGACAAGGGCGTTCAGTTGACTGATGGGCCTCTTCTCCAAGTCTCCTTCCTCCTGGGAGCCCCGGAGACTGGGACCTGGACGCACCGACCAAGCCCACCGGCCAAACTCTCGCGGTCACTGCCACGTGCCGTGACCGCTGCCGGGGTCTCGCAAACGTCCAGCCGAAGCTCTGCACAGCCCTGCTCTTGCCCCACGGTCTCCCCTCCCTCCTCCTCCCGGACACACTGAAGGGAGCGCTTTCGCAGCCCGTCACGGTGTTTTTCTCAAGGAGAGAAACACACAGCAAGCTAAAGGCAACACTGATGGTTTCATGTTGCACAACCGCAGTCAGAAAAGTAGGAAATAACACCACACAAAAATCACTCGGCACTTAACGCTGTAACTTCTTTTTAATTCCGGAAGGAAAGGTAACGTACTTCATTTTCAGACTACACGTATTTTCTAACAACTTAAAAGAAAACGACTACTGCCTTAAAACAAGAGCAATTAAAACCGAGTTAATTTTTAAAAATTGGGGACGTGGTTTTAAATTTCAAATTCTTCTGTAAATCCACACATAAAATCATCAGGGCAGATTTCACCATTTGGAACCTAGGAACGTAAGAAAAATAAGGAAGTCGGAAGCAGACACCCCACACACCCCTTACTCAATCTGGCATTTACAGAGGAGGCCGTCCGAACCTCCACCTCTCATGACCCTGCAACTGAGCCTTGAAAATCGCAGTGAAGGTTTCGGAAAACCTAATGTACCTACCAGTCACGGTGGCCCTCCCACGACCCCCTCACCCTGCCTCACACTTGCTGCCAGACAAATAATTCATGGGCTGGCCAGTCACCTGGAGCCTAGGTCCAAGGGAGAGATGACCAGATTGTCTCTCTCTACAATCAGAACTAGGAAACATACAAATCGGCATTTAGAAACTGAAAGAATGCAACAAGAAATGCCACCAAGTTGAAAAGTTGAACTGGGGCCAGAGGGCTTGGCCAGCCAAGCGAGCACGTGGATGGACACGGGGCGGGGGGGGCACACAAGGAGTGAGTGAAGCGGCCAGCTGGTGGTGGGGAGGGAGGCGCTGGCTGTGGAGGGAGGGGAAGGGCCAGGGACAAGGGCGGCTGAGGCCCCCAGCAGGCCCACCCTCCGAGGCCAGGTGTCAGAGCACAGCCCGTCGGCTCACGTTCCGGAGTCCTGTGCGGCGCAGCACAGCTCCCACGAACAATGCGCTCCTCCTGGAGCTCCCCGGAAAGGGCCCGTGCTCCGGGCAGCCTGGCGCCAGACTGGCACATGGAGCGGGCGAGCAGGAAGCAAGCTGTCCAGCAAGTCACTGCCATAAAAACTGGACAGTTTGGTATTTAAGGGAAATGCAGAACCCGAAGCCACCATCCCACGAAGGACAAAAGGCTCACACCTCACAGATATGGGCACATGAGAACTTTCTGAGGTAATGGACGGAAAGGGTTTGAGCCCCTAAATCTACCTTCTTCCCTCGAGAAGACTTGAGTTTTTGTTTTGATTTTCAAAACGAGATTGATTTGGGTAAGTCTCACAAACATTGCAGAGCAGAAGCCAGATGCAAAAAACACCCGAGTTTCAATTTATATATAGAACAGAAAGAGATAACATTCATCCGAGGGCTTCAAAGTCAAGAGAGGGGGAGGGAGGAGGGGCTAAACGCGCCCAGCGGAACTTGTTACTGGGCTGGTCTGTTGTGGTTCCCGGTCTTGGTTCAATCTGACATTTTCGTCCGGGTGCTCGTTCATGACCAAAGGGTTTCCTGTGTGTACGTTATATGGAGAGACGAGGAGGCAAAGAACACACCAGAGGAATCTGAAAGTGGCTGGAAGTGGGTTTGTTTGGGTGTGCATCCAGTGAAATGCTTATTTTCAGCCAAATGCTTCAGGTAAACAACAAAGAAAATTAAGACCTCAGTAGCCCCATTATTGGAATTCTAATGTGACTCATGAATTTCGTATTAGGAGCAAAACTAACTAAGCAGCGTCAGGAGAATAATGTAAATCAAACTCCATACTACAGTGCTCACTTCCGGGGAAATCAATTCGCCCACGACCACGGCCCTCTCCCAAAAGAGCAGCGGAGGGGAGACCTGCTCTCCACACCCTCTTTCTACTTCAGCGGACAAAAACCAGCAAAATCCCCAGGAAGACGTGTTTACTCAGAATCCCACTGCTTCGTTTTCAAAGGGGGAATTAACTCAAGCACATACATTACCCTGAAGTGTATTTTTAAAAACCAAAAGAGCCCGTTTTGATTTTCAAAGACTTAGAATTCAAAAACATTTCACAAAATCTACATACAGTTCATAAGCATAAAAAATCAGAGTAAGTACAAATGGAGCAATGGGGACAAACAATAAAATAAACATGAGTTTATAAATCGTCAGATCCAAATAACAAACACAAGCCAAAGAGTAACGGGAAAAGTTAGGTACTCACAGCCATAATTAATTCAAAGGGGTGTTTATACACCCTCACTGGTGACTGGTATTTCTGCACCATGATTGGGATATAACAGCAATCCTGTCGCACCTGCAAAATGCAAACATATGTGACCAACAACCATGACGTGGGAAAAGTTCAGTCTGCATTTACACATCACATACGACAGTCTGAGGGGAGAAAGAAACCTCCACAGGTCCTAATTCTATGCACACAAAATTTGAAGACAATCACCCAAGGGCAGGGGAAGGAGGTGGGGGGGGCGGCGGTTGTGAACCTGGAGCCCTCCATTCAGGGCCTTCCCAGCAGTGACTTGTTGTGATCTGATTATTCTGATAACCTACACGATTCGTTTTGAATGATTTTCTCTTCAGCAACTCCTCCTAGAAGCCAAGTAAAAATAGTGGCGCTTTAAGACAATAAGTGCAGGGCCACAGAGAAATTTAAAAGTGGGGAACAAAGTGGACAACAATGGAAAAAAATACCATTGTTATGTCAAATGATGAGCCAGCTTCGAAGGAAACAGGCCAGTGCCACTTTGGAACTGCACAGAGTGCGCGTTCAGCGGCCTGCCTTCCAACCGACACCGGAACTCCGGCCAGGGGCTCCGGAGGGAGGGTCCTGGCCTCAAACAGCCACAACACCGTGGCCAGACCTCACGTGTCACGGGAGTCATACTCCTGTCCCAGCCCACGGGGGTTTTCTGAAAAAGCAATTTCATCTGGGTCCTCTGACTTTACTTTCCTATTTAAAAGGGAGAAGGAAAAATACATCCAAAGCACCTACCTGTCCTGCAGGGGATAATCATTAAGAACGTTATTCCACGCTGAGTAGAGTGAAGGGAGACTCCAAGCAGAAAGGGAATGTCCTCAAGGAGCCCAAAGTCTACAGGCAAAAAAAAGAAGGCAATTCCAAAAACAGCCTTTATTTCGGAACATTGGCACATTCCATTTAAACATTCCATTTACACGGCGCTTTCTCTGGCCCGCTTAGCATCCCCCGCACAAGGAAGAGGTTATGCTGGAAACCTGCACTGACAGTCTAAAAACTGCCGAGATTAACTCTGAGTGACCTCAAGCAAGTCCCGTGACCGCTGGGACTCAGTTTCACCTCTGTGGAATGAGGGCCGGGGTGAGGGAACACTGAAAGACTTCCAGTTCTTAAACAGTGAGACTCCAGGCCAGGCTCAGCAGGAAGTCTTCATTAATCTTCACTCTGGGGCTGGCAGGTCCTGGGGCGCCCGAACCGCGCTCCACTTAGTTGATGCACAGTAGGAATTCGATAATCTTTTTAAATTTTAACTGAAAAATTATTTCAGGGTACCTCTCAGTTAAAATAAAGGCTGTTTTTAGAATTGCCGTTTTTTTGTTTGTTTTTTTTGTTTGTTTGTTTGTTTACCATTGGCATAAAAAGCGGAGGGGGGTGTTAAAAAGCAGAAAGCTCGGTAAGGCACTGTGACACCCATTCAGGATGCCACTGCCGCGCAGAACCCCGAGTGGCTACGCTGAAGAACCTGCCAATTCACAAGCCTCCGAACTCCTGCCAGCTCCCCGCTTCGGATGCTCTGGTCCAGAGACACGTCCTACGTGGGAATTTGGAGTTACCCCAGCCAAGTGGCATCCTGGCCCGTGACAGCCTCTGTGGCATGAGTTGGTCCTTACAAATTAGCCAAGGGCCAGACCAAGTGAGTCCATCCCGAGCAAGTTCCAGGGGCGGCCGGGCCCCCGGATCATTGGTCAGCGGGTCCAGCGCGGCGGCTTCGGCGGACCCCAGCCCGGCCGACCCAGGGAGGTGCGCCAAGGGATGGGCTCGGCCCCTAAACTCTGCTGCCGGCAAGAGGGGTCGGGGATGGGAAGACTGACGCGGTGGGGGCGGGGAGGGGACGACCAGCAGAGTAGGAGCGGCGAGGGGCGAAGGGGCAGCGTGCCAAGGACGGCAAGAAGGCCGGCTCGGGGCTCCGCGCCCGGGCCGAGGGGAGTCGAGAAGAACTAAGAAGAGCCAGGGGGCCAGAAGGGCGGGCTGGTCGCGGAGGCGGCCGCGAGAGCCCCGCGCCACCGGGGGGGGGGTCGCGCCGGCGACGCTCTGGGAGCCCGCCGCGGCGACGCGCGCCTACCTCTGTCAGGGGAGCGGGGCTCGGGGCGCGGGGCGTCCGGAGAAGCTCATCCTGGTGGCTCAGCGGTGCCGTCGCCGTCCCACTGCCCTCGGCTGCAGCTCCGCCACCGGTTCCGGGGAGTGGGCGGGGGAGGGGGCGGGAGCGGGAGGGGCGCGGCGAGGCTCCAGTGGTTGTTACGGGTGACGGGGAGGGCGGGGCCGAGCGGCGGCAGCGGCACGCATGCGCGAACGCAGCCGCGGGGGCGGAGGCTGGAGCGACGACGGTTGCTAGGGAGGGGGTGGGGGGGAGAAACAAGCGGGGCCGGGCCGAGCTGCGCAGGCGCCAACTCTGAGACTGCCCCAAGTGTGGCTGGTCTTCGGCCGGAGGACGCTGACTCCACCTAGTTTGCGTCACGGGGCGGGTCCAGACACAAAGGAGGCTGCGAGGGGGAGCCGCGGGCAGTGCCGCGGGCAGTTCCGCTGAATTGGTACGGGGAAGTGTGCGAGGTGTCCGAACAGCCGGGGCCTTCTGGCTGGCCAGCGTGTGCTGAGCTTCTGCCGCCTGTGTGATCGGAACTGGCGGCGCCCCCCGCGCTTCCTCATTTTTTGTTGACTGCTCAGAAGCAGCCCGCTTCCCCTGCAGTGCCCTGACCGCATTCTCGCCGATGAAGCAAAGGCCAGGTCTGGGGAGGGGCTGGGTGGGACCCAGCAGCAGCTCGTCAACACCTCCTGGCTGGCTTAATTCCTCCTGGAACTAAGACAGGCGCCAGGCTCTGCCCTTCCGGGAGATGAGGGCTGCGTTTCGGCCAGAGAGCCACGGTACCAGTTCCAACTCTGAAACCCAAGTGTGATACACTCCGTGACATTTAGGAGTCCTTAAGCGGAGCTAATGACTAGAGAGGGACACCACACGCGTCCCCCCACACAGCAAGGCTGGTTTTATAGTCAACATGCCATTTCTCCATCAGTGTCACAGTTGTTCCGTTCGCGTCAGTCACCCTGGGTGGCTGTACATTCGTTGCTGCCACTGCACCAAATATTTTTGGAACTGTTTTGGAATTTCCTTCAGGGCCAGTTGACCAACCTCACAAGAAAATCATTCATGGAGTGCTCATACCTTTTCAACTCAAACCACCTTGTTTGAGCTTGATCCACCCACACTGCGCACTAGACCACAGCTCGGGCTGTTCGTGACATCACATCCACCTTCAAAAGTTGCTTTCGGAAAGAGACAGCCCAGGAATGATGAGGTCACTGACAGGAGTAAACAGTAGCATCTATGAAATGGTCTTGCCTCAAACTGACCTGATCTGATAAGCCTGTGGATGCAACCACCAATTTACAGAAAGCAGAGAACAGAGGAACATGCCAAATGATACCAGGGCAGCCACCCCCGGGGGATGGACCGTGGGAAACTGTACCTGACAGCTATTCTTTATTTACCACATAAATTTCAGAGGAGAAGAAAGAGGGTAAGAACCAATCTAAAGGCTAAAAGAGATTGGGAAATTCATTGGGCTATATACACTTATGATCCACATGCTTTTTTCTGCTCGTGCTATAGTTCAATTAAAATTTCAAAGAAAAACAGACCTTAGACACCCAGCAGTTAAAATCAATCTATGTTGATTTTAACAAATGAAATAGTAAAAAAAAAAAAAAAAGTGAGTCAGGAAAATTTAAATGCTGTTTGATCATATAATAACATTAAGAGATTACTAATTTCTAGGTTGGATAATGGTGTTACGGCTAATATTTTTTAAAGAAGCCTATCCTCTGGCTGAAATATTTCCGAGTGAGAAGTGCTCTCTGGGATCAGCTTCAAAGAGACCCAGATGGAAAAAGGAAGGAGAAAGGGGTGTGGATGAAACAAGATTTGTCCTAAATTGATAACTGTGCATTATAGTATTTTGTCCACTTTTGATATGTTTGGAATTATCCATAATAAAACAAATTTTTCACAAAAAGATAGTTTGTCACCACTGAGGACAGGAAATCAAGACATAATTACAAAAGAGTTTTCGGAAATGTCTCAAGCAACAGCCCGTATCATTAAGATACATGGACAGAGACCCAAGGTGACAAATTTGAAGGAAAACACGTGTTTCGATGTGCAGATTGGGTATGTTTGGCCAGGCAGGTGTCCGACGCCTGCAGGGAGCTCCCGAGCACCAGACCGCAGGGTTCCAGGAGAATACCTGGCCCCCCGCCCTTCTCACAGAGCTCTGAGTGTGTGTCAGCCACGGGGCGAGGCAGAAAGATGAGTACAGTGTCGGGGAAGTGGACAGCACACTGGATCGGTTTGGCCGCCGGTGACCAAAACCCCAAAGGAAGTGTCATGACAAGACAGGAATGTATGTCCCTCTCGCATGCATGAAATCTAGGGCTGGTACGGTGCCTCATGATCACGGTCAACTGCCAACTCCGCCAAAACACCGCCAGAAAAACCTGCCAGTGAACCAAAGCTAAGGCAGGTGATGGGACGAGCTGCAGCTTGGCATCAGAAGCGGGAGGCCCAGGCGGAGCTTTCCGGGTGGTGTGGTCTCAGCTCAAGGGTTCAAGGCAGGTCTGTCAGGGCTGGAAGGACCCGGCCAAGTTCAAGATGTAGTAGTGGAGGCCTGGTGGACACCGGTCTTGAATATTTGAGTCTTGACGTGTAAGCAGCTGTTTGATAAACGAGTTGTTTGCCCAAGTGAGCAATCTGTCATCCGGAGAAGGGGGTTGCTGGCCGAGATGAGCCAGAAGTTGTTTCTCATGATTTCCTGGAGCAAACAGCGAAGCTGCGTGTTGGTCTGCAGTCCTGTCTTCCTGAACAAGACTCTCTCAATAAATAAGAAGTTGCCGACACGGGAGGTCTTAGGTCTCCGTCCTGCTGCTTTCGCCCCGTGGGTGCAGGTAGTGTCACACGTCATCTGCGGGGACCAGGGCCCCTTCGGTCTCGCTGCTTGGTCATTACCACAATGTCCTCCACCGCCAGCCAGCAAGTAGGAGGGAAGAGGGAAGAGGGCAAACGTCCTTCCTTGAACGCCGCCTCCTTGGAAGTGGTGTGCAAGTGTGCGAGTGTGCGTGTGTGCCGGTCAGAGCGCAGGGCCAGCGGTGCTCCCGCAGAGAGAAGGCTGCCCTTGTCTGTGGTAGCACGTGCGCTCCCTTCTTCGGGCAGATGCTCCCTCAAGTCCTCGGCCGAGAGGACTCCGAAACCCCTGGAGTGAGCCCCTCCATTTGTTTCTATTTGTCAGCCCCTCACCTGTCTGTTGGTGCCTTTCTCTCGGCGGATGGAAGACTGGATAGGTGCTGCATGAAAGCCACGCTTACCAGGTGCCCTTGGGTTGGAGACCTCAGATTCACCAGCATCCACAGCAAGACACTCTCTGGTTCCTGGGCTGCCAGCCGAGGCCCCACCAGGAGCCTGAATCTGAAGCCGCTGTTCCCCGTGTCTGCCTCTGGCTGACCTGAGGGTGTGGTGTCAACAGTCCGCGCCCCTCTGCCTGGGCGTGGGCCTTGGGGCCTGCTACATCTTCCCCAGCAGGATTAACCGGAGGGGGGGACACCATTCCTGCTCCCTCCAGGCCCATCGCCTCCATTGCACCTGCTGTTATACTAAGAATCATCACAAGGAAAATGTGGGAAGTTGGTGACGCCAAGAGAATCAGAGTTATGGATTAAGGGGACAGTCATTGCAGGAAAGACATTTGGAGGCAAGTGACAGTCTTAGCTAACATTTCGGCCTGCAGAGCCCAGCCTCTTCCCCACAAAAGCAAAAGAAACAGGAGGTGAGTCTGAACGACCCCTTCGAATGTCACTAAGCCTCCTGGGAGGTATAGTGTCCAGGCCATGCTGAGAGGCCCGGTGGCACTTACTTCTTACCCTCTGGTGGCCCTACCCGCCCCAGCATTGGGCCGCACAGTGTGGTCAGTCAGGGACGTGTCAGCCCTCCCCCACGGTAGAAGAGACTACGTTCCGTTTGGTGGTGAGGGGTGAACGACGGCTTCCCCAAACGTGGCCGAGACTCCCGCCCGGTGAAGTCTCCAGCTGGGGAAGCAGGAGAACATAGGTTCCCTTAAGGCACAAGTTCCTTGCCGGCTCTGGCAGCCGCCAAGGGACCGGAGCCAGTGCCATCATCTCATTCCCAACGTGGGGGAACCTCGGCCGAGAAGCCCTATCTGCGGAAGTTGTCATCCAGGCTTCCATGTTTCTGAAGTCTTCCCGTCTGGAGCGGCAAAGCGCCCAGTATTCGAGTCCGTTTCCTTCCTACGAGTCTCCCTTCTTCCAGGCCCCGTCCACCCCGACGGCAGGATCCGCTTTCGAAAACCCAAACCCAAACTCACCCCTTCGCCCGCAAGCCACATTGATGGCAGAAATAAATCAGCATCCCGGCCTGCCTGCCCAGGTCTTCTCGAAATCTCACTTCTGGCTTTCCTTTGCCCGGAATGATTTTATTGTCATCTCCACTTTATCTGTTCACGTATTTATTCCTTTGTTAGCTCAGCAAACATTTATTCAGCCTCTTGATTTACTCAGACACCACAGTAAGCAGAGGAGTGTGTGGAAGAAACACTGTACAGAAGCAAGTTTTCCTTCCAGGTGCTCAGCACAGGTCAGTGCACCAGGAAAGTGCAGCCTGCTGAGCCTCTGCCCCGCCCTCCGCCCCCAGCCCCCTGCCTTTTCTTGGCCTCCTCCTTTTCCGTGGGCCTGGGCCCTGGGTACTTCCACCTGGGAGGCATTCTTTTTAATGGGATTGTGGGAGAACCAGCTCTGCCTCTTCCATTGATTTGTAAGTTGCTTGGGTCCTGGGACCACATCCACTCACTGTCTTCCACTTCTCACGGCCCTTGGCACTTTCCAGAACGCAGTCGAACACTGAATGTTAGTGATGAGCCTTGGGTTGGGCCTTCATTCCGACTGCACTGCATCTCTGTACCATGGACTGAGCTGACGCATCCTTGGGACCGATGCTCCCATCCCCTCTGTTCTGTCCCCTGTGTCACCAAGCTAGGACATGAAACCTGGAGGAGCGGCCCGGATGAAGAGATTGCTGCAGTGCGCCCTGGGAAACCCAGCACCCATCCCACGGCATGCAGGGTGGCCAAGGATGACGTGAGGCCATTCAGCTTCCAGCTCCAAGAAAGAAAAGCAGCCAGCCCGATCTCACTTCTTTACGGGTTGCTTGTTTTCCAAGCCGGAGCGCCGCTTCTCCCCCAGCGATGCAGCTGGGAGGTGCTTTGCAGGCCAGAGAGAGACCTCGGTTAGCAAGTCAGCAGTTTGTCCCCCGGCTGCTCCACTGCCAGTCACACAAGCAGGAGGCGGGGTTGACCTGCAGCAGGAATGGGGAGCTTACAGGGGCAGACCACAGGCCATGTGATGAGGGGGGCCTGGGAGGAGTAAGGAGCAGGGAGCCCGAAATCCGATTAGGAAAGCAATTTTCCCAACAGGAAAGGTGGACGAGAAGGTCCTCCTTCACTTTCAGTTCTGCGGGCACAGACTGGACCGCACTGGAGCCAGGCAGAGGGATCGTCAGAGCTCTGAGCTCCCCCACTTTGTCCTTGACCTGGGCGATAGAGATCTCCTGCCACCCCAAACACTTTCAGCCACAGTGGGGGGGCGGCGGGGAATGTTTCCCTTCAGTTCCTTATTTGGGCTGCCTCTCACACAGCCAGGCATCCTATGCTCTGCCTCCAGAGTGTTCCGTGACCTCCCTCTGACAATCACACATCTGCTCACTTCACGCCTCACTGAAGACTGCATCCCTCACCCCTCCCCACCCCGCAGGACCGGGTGCCCCAATGAGCAGCCCTCTTAGGGGCCAGTGCACATTTAGGACTTTTCTAAAGGGAAAAAAAGTCCTGTTTTAAATTGAATGTTGATGGCGTTTGGTGTGGGAAAGCGTGTCTCACAGGGTTGTTGCACGTGGATAGGAAAGCGTTTCTGAAAACACTGAGAGTGGCCAAGCCCTGTATAAATGCTTCCCACAGCCAGGATCCTACGGCTCTGCCTCCAGAATGTTCTATAAGCGAAGATTATTATTATCCTGTCTACCCCTCTGGTTGGTTACTGGCATCATCCTCTATTTCTGTAGATATGTCCCTCCCCATCTGAAATTTCCCCCACACAGAAAAAAGAATAATACACAGAAAATAAACAAAAAACCCCAGTCCTCATTTGAATGGCTATGCCCACAGACCCGCTGAAAAAAACACGGGGGTCTTGGTGAGTGACATGCCTGCCGTCACCACACAGGACCTGACGGGGCCGGGGACACACAGACGGGGGCATCTCGAGCAGCCGGGCACAGCCGTCTCCACCACCATCGAGATCAGAAGGCTCGGCCGACTCTGAAATGCTGAAACATGAGAGCAAAGCTGATCCTCAGAGGGACCTCGCCTGCCAGCCCTGCCTCCGGGGTGGCCTCTGTCAGGTACGTGCTCAGGCCGAGGCATGACCGGCCGCCACGGCCAGCACGTCAGCTGGGTGCCGCTGCTTCCAGAAGCGTGCAACCACTCCGACACAAAACCTGAGTCTGGGAGACCTTCTCCGTCCCCTCCGAGATACAGGGCACACCACTGAACTTGACACAGCGAACGAGAGGGGACTTTTTTCCACCACATGGGCTCAGGAAGCACCCCCACTGGCGTGCTGATTTCCTGGGGCCACGGTGACAAACTGCCACACGCTGGCTGACTGAGAACAACACAGATGCACTGTCTGGTCTGGAGGCCAGGCGCCCTAGAGGTGAAAGCCAGGTGTGGGCGGGGCCGCACTCCCTCCTTCCTGCCTCTTCCCTTTTCTGGGGCTCCTGCAGGTGTCGAGGGGAGAGGCCCACCCCCGTAAACACTTAGGCCTGCTGAACGCCCAGCTAACGCCCACCTGGCCCGGCATGAGCACCTGATAAACACAGGTGCCTGTGCTTTCTCGGACACTCTGCTGAGAAGGCAGAACAAGAACACATCCGGCCTTAAAATATCCCCATATGGCCCCTGTGAAAAGGCTGAATTGGCTTGACTCATAAATCCTTTAAATAGCAAGTGGCAATAGCCGGTATGATTTTTTAATGGCCCATTTATTCCTTCATCCGTTTATTGTTCTGAGCTTTAGAATGATGGAGCTCCCGGGTCCCTGGCACATGACCTAATGGGGTGGGGTGGGGAAGCCTCGCAACTCTGAAAGCCAGGGGTCAAGTTCAAGTTTGAAAAGGCTGAATTCGAGACCCCCATAACTTGTTGAAAATAAAAAAGTTTTTTTCTTTATTTTTCTTTTCTTTTCCTGAAATCCACTGCGGGCCGTGTCCCAGCAGCAAAGATCGGGAGGTTCGTGTGGGTCTGAGCGGAGAGTGAAGCCTCTCTATTCTCTGGTGGAAGACACTGAGCTCGTTGTCTCGACCGCTGCACCCCACGCTTTGCACAGCTCAGCCACTGTGCACCGGGCCCAGGACATCCCTGCAGCTGGTTCAGACCCGCCAGGAGGAAAGCAGAGAAAGCCGGCAAACTCGGGAAAAGCCCAGGTGCCTCCGAGTGGCTTCTCTACTGCTTCCCCCTTCAGATCTGCCACGCTGGGACCCCAGTCACCTTCAAGGCCATTCCCTGCCCTGAAATGCCTAGGAAGTCTCCGTCGAGTGACGTCTGACTGAAGCCTAGCCCTCTTCGTGGCTAAGCACACAACTTAATTTTGAGCCATGACAGCTTCAGAAAGGACCTTATTGGCCAAGCCAGGGAGTGCCATCGGTGGTCTGAGTCCTGTGACCCTCACCACAGACACGTCTGCAGAGGTTTGGGCCCCACGGCTGCTGGGCGACACCCTTCTGCTTCCAGATGTCCCCAGAGAGGAAAGAAGATGCCCCGAAGCCGAGACAGGACAGGCTTTTGTTCCGACTCTGGCCGTATTTATTTTCCATCAGGAGCAGGGCGGTTTCAGAAATGGAGGAGACCTGTCGGCTGAGCTGCTACCAAAGCCCTCCCCTGTGGTTCCAACCACACACCGGGATTTTTTTTAATTTTTAAAAGTCAATTTAATTTGAAGTTACACAATAACAGAGGCCGTAGCAGACTGTCTGCGGTGTGTCCCTTTCCCCACGCCTTTCTTCCCAAGACCCGGGGTTTGTTCAGCACCCACCCCCTCCCACCACGTGCCGGGGCTCCAGAGAAAGCTGGCCCCTGCCGCAGCCCCAGCCAGCGGGCCAGGCCAGTCCCAGGCACCCCTTCTCCCAGGGACGGATTCAGGAGTGGGTGTGAGACCCCCAGGGGTTTCCAGAAGGTTCCTGCACTCTGAAAGATGAGACGCGGAAATGGAAGGTGCCACGTCTGTGTGCGGGAGCTGCCGTGCCCATCCTGACCCTTGGGACTGCTCCAGGTGTGGGTGCCCACGTGGGGACCAGGCTCCCATGGGCCACCGTGCTCCCCGCAGAGAGGAGAGGAGGAAGAAGTAGGGCGGGTCTTGGGTGACACCGTGTCCCCGACACACCCGGGGCCTCGTCCTCTGTGGGCAGTCTGTCCTGAGAATGGCCCCACTTCCTCACTGTGTAACCAGCTTGAGGAAGGACATTTTGTTCCTTGTGGCTAAAAGCAACCTGAACACATGCCGGTCTCAGGAGCAGTTTGCAAAAACACGCGAAGAGGAAGAAAGTCCCTGTAACCCCGTCTGTCTGCTTACGACCACTCTCTGTGGGGTTGCCAGTCCGTTCTCTCTAACCCGAGGACTCAGTGGCACTGACGGGGAGGTGTGATTACACAGGCAATGCGCCGTTAAGAATTCAAACAGCACAGCCGTTGAACACAGAAAGTAAATGGCCCTGGTGACCCGTCCCCTCAGAGGTGGCCTCTGCCTGTTTGGTCATCGAGTCTGAGCTCTACCAGTGTTTTCTGACGTATGAGCTCCTCCTGACTCACGACGAATGGCCACATAACCTCTTAAGCCCATAAACAGGTAAACTGGACTGTGACCCTGGCCAGCGGGACGTCTGGGCTCGGAGAACGGGCAGCTGGGAAGGACAGGGAAGGAAGCGTCCGGTCCCGCTGCGAGCAGGGCTGGCCTGGCCAGCGGGACAACGGGCAGAGAGGCTGGGCCTGAATTCCTGACTGGAGGGCTCCGTGGCCCAGGGCAGGTCCCCGGGCCATTCTGAGCCCAGTTCCTCATCTGCAAAATGGGAAGAATGTTGGCTGAGAGAGTTGCTGTAGGAGTTACAGATAATGTATGCGGTCCAGCCTCAGTAAATGGTGCTCTTCATTCCCAATGTCTGCCAACTTCCCACGTCTCTCGGGACCGTCTACCACTTCCTGGAGGCCTCTTTGCCCCGCCCCCGCTGTCCCTGCTCCCTCCTTGTCTGCACAGGCTCTCAGCTGTGGACCGTGGGATCCCCCGGAGCTAGTTCGTGCCCCAGGCGGGTTAGGGAGGGGTGCAGACCTCACAGATGCAGGCCCCGGGTGGTCTGCCGGGGACCAGATGGCAAGGGCTCCCAGAGGTCCTGGCCCCACCAGGAGCCACGTCAGGGTGTTGCAGCCTTGGCCCCTGCTTTTTGGAATGAAGCCGCCTCCGGCCCAATCTACCCCAACAAAATGATGCCACGTCCCTGCCTCTGCCTCTCAGAAGTCCGCCCCGACTCCAAGTCTCCCGCAGGAGCATGGGGTTCGTCGAAACTAAATCACACCTCTGACCCAGCAGGTCTCTCGTTTCCACGCTGGAAAGGGGACACCCAGCACCGGACATCTGATTCCAATCGGAAACCGGAGAGAAGGTTTGAAACCTCGGGGCAGCCTCCGATTGTGTGTGTGTTGCGGGGGCGGGGGCGGCGGGGAGAAGACCAAGCACCCAGGCTCGGAAGTCCTGTCCCTCTGTCCTGTCCGTCAGATGGAGTCGGGCAGTGACGGGCCCCAGTTACTTGTCTAGCCAAGCTCAGGCGTGAGCGGCAAAGCAAGGTGCCGAACGATCCATCCCTGGGGGCAGGTGTGCAGCGTGTCCTTCACATTGAACTTTTAAGAAGAGGTTTCAGGCCCTGGCTGGTAGCTCAGTTGGTTAGAGCATCATTCCGATAAGCCAAGGTTGTGGGTTCGATCCCTAGTCAGGGCACAGGTGGGAATCAACCAGTGATGCATCAATGACGGGGAGAGCAAATCGATGTCTCTCCCTCTCTCTCTCTCTCAAATCAATTTTAAAAATTTAGGAAACAAAGATGTTTGGGATGAACACTACCCCCAAGTACGGCACCTGGGGTGTACTGAGCACTTTGAGCTGAAGGAGTCTGATGAACAGCAGAAGCAGGAAGGTCACTGTGACCTTCCCCATCTCCCCTGAGACAGGTCATGAAACGTAAGGGAGAGGTGAGGAGAGGGGCATCGTTATCCCCGAAGACAAAGGGACCCAAGGAGAGTCCAGACAGACCTCGCACAGGCCCCCTGCTTCCTTACGGCGCCTGACTCCTACTCTGACCTCCCCGGTCCCTCTGTGCCCTTGTCAGACCCGCGGAAAAACCCTCAGTACAGCCGCACTCGGGTATAACTGCTTCTCGGGGGCGACCACCTTGTGAAGACTCCCGTGTCACATAAAACTCGTGTTACGTCGATTTGTATGTTTTTCGCCCAGTACCTGTCCTTGCCAGGTTAATTTTCAGGCCCAGCCAGGGACTCTGAGAGGGCCAAGGAAAAGCTTCTCCTCTCCTGCACTGGTCAGCTCTGACCTCAAGCTGATGGGCACCTCGGGCAGTGTAACGAATGGGCCGACCCGGCTTCCGGCGTGACCCAGGAAGGCAGTGTGAGTCAGGGCCAGCACTGCCGGGACGAGTCCCTGCCTCCCCGAGGGCTGCCCTTTCTCCGGCGTGGGATCCGAACATGTCCGTCCGGGCTCTCGTTTTTCTAATGGTCCCAGTCTGTGCAATGAGGCCAGGGGCCAGCAGGCGTGAGCACAGGCCGGTGGGGGGCACTGGGGACTACACGGATGACCAGAGTCTGAACTAGCTGCACCGCCCCCCGAGACCGGCCAGGCCGCAGCCCCTACCTACGGACAGGATGGCGGGCCATGGTAGGCCCTCTGCTATCGCTGCTCACCACCATGATTCTGTGGAATACTTACCGTAACGATATTTTATACAAACACAGACCAAAGAAATGCTGCTTCCACCCTACAGGAGCCCTGGTGCCCTTGACAACACCTTGGCCTGCTCTCTCACAGGGACGCCTGCCCCACTGGGAGCTTCTCCTCCAGAGGCTGCTGAGGCCTGACACGCAGCCGTGGCCTCCTGGACGAAGCAGCTGTCTGTCGTAGGGTCCGACGGGAGATGGGGACTCACCCAGAGCCCTGAAGGAATGGCGGCCTAGGTTGCCCCTGGGCTGCGCGCCTGGTCCCGGTGGCTGCGTGCAGAGGCTCATTTTCCTGGATGTCGTGCTAGCTCTGGGGACCTACTTAGGAAACAGCAGAACCAAGGCCGCCTTCCACTTGCTGGAGGTGGTGGGAGGGTTCCGGAAGACCCTCATTATTTCTTTCCCGTCCTCAGTCCCCCCGGGGCAGCGCTGCCAGCTGGCTGCGCTCCGAGTAATGAGATGGGAATGCTGTCTCACGGAGGCCACGCCACGGCAGCTAAGTATAGACGGCAGCTTCCCGGCACACCCCCCGCCTGCATGCGCTAGAACAATTATAGGAAGGAGGCGTAATTGCGACCTTGACCTGCGAGAGCACGGTCTTCTCTGTCTGGGGCCTGGGCTCTCCCTGGGTGAAAGGACAGCGTTCCTGGTCCGGCAGCTGGGGACGCTCTGTTCCTCTGTTACCTTTGGACTTGGTGGCTCCCGGACTGTGTTACATCACAGAAGTGTCCACTGTGACTCGGAGCGTGCGGGGCTCAAAGGACAGTCCTCCACGGGCGGAGATGAATAGGCCTCATTAGTGAGTCACATTCCTTTCCCTTGGCCTCCCTTATAATTAGGGTGGCGGACACGCTGGCTGGCCCGAGACAGTTTCGGTTTGTGCCGGTTGCACCTGGGTGATTATTAACAACACCCACTTTCGCTCCCAGAAGGGACCTGGTTGGGGGACACATTTCTTTTTTAACCCTCACCTGAGGACGCCTTTATTGATCTTAGAGGGAGGTGGAGGGAGGGCGGGAGAAACAGAAACATTGATCTGAGAGGGATGCCGATCAGGTGCCTTCTGTCTGCGCCCCACCTGGGAACTGAACCTGCGACGAAGGTCTGTGCCCTGACCAGGGATCGAACCCACAACCTTCTGGTATATGGGACAATGTTCCAATCAATCGAGCCACCAGCTAGGGTGGTTGGGTGATCGATTTGAAGATGCCTGGTTTGTACTCTGGAGGACAAGGAGGAAGGCAAAACCTCTTCATGGGGTGGACCCCCTGGAGAGTGTGCCTACGGAGGCAGGAGGAGTGTCGCAGACCGCTCTGCCTGGTTTCAGGACTTGAATCTCTCTCCCTTGTGGCGAGGGGCGAGGGACGACCTCTGGAGTGCCAACTGCAGGAGACAAAGCCTGTCTCTGGTAGCAAATGCTGCCTCAGTTCCTCTCCCTGCCCCCAGAGCTTAGTCAGAAGTCAGTGACGGGTAAGACCCCTCACAGCGGGGGGAGGGGGGGCAACCTAAGCCAGACTCGATCACTGGGCAGGCCTTTGTGGAAGGACTCGCGGGGCTGCAACAAAGAGCAATGGGCTCTCACCCTCACCCCCTTCCTGGCTTTGACATAGCCTGAGTCCCCACGTTCTCTGGGAGAAGCGCTTCCTGGCTCTAATCCCCTTAAGCCTGAATACCTGTTGGGGAGAGGTGCAGCTCCTTGCCTTGCTAGAGTGTGTCCTGGGGAAAAATCTGGCATCACAAAGACTTGCTGATAAACCTGTGAAATCTGCTCTGCTAAGGGTGCTTTCATTCATATGATAAGGGTCCGAGAGGAAATGAGTATGTCTCCCAAAGTTTCTGCAACTCTCTTCCTGACAGACACTGACTCAGACTCTGAAGCCCTCAGACCTCTTTGTAATGTTATCTACTGTTTGATCCTTGCCGCCTTGTATTCCTGTGTATTAGAACCCAATAAAAGGCTATGGATGTGGGTGCTTGGGGCCTTTGTCTCCCCTGAGAAACTGGCCACAGCTCACTTCTCCTCCCTAAGCAGATCACGTCATGTCTCGGCCACGTTCACTTTCGTCCGTGGCACTCAGGGGGACTTGCGAGAAGGTCGCTCCCACAGTGGAGGGGTCAGGAGAAGCGCTATCCTAGGCCTGCTAGAGAGCCCTCTGCTGCGCCCGCCCTTCGGGGCCCTGAGCAGCCTCGAACCCCAGCTTCCGGGGCACTGGGGTGGCCAGCCTAAGCGAGGTGGACCTGTTGGCCTACTCAGGAGGCCCAGGCTGATAAGATCAAATGATTTCTGCATCCAGTTGGCCCTGAAGCTGCCCGAGAGGAAATGCGTGCCTTGCCGCTGGGCTCCAAGCCCTGGGCCTTCTGGCCGCAGGCTCAGGAGAAGGCCGGCACCAGCCTCTCACAGGGGCCGGCCTGTCGGGCAGGTCCTGTTACTGGGGTCTCCTCACCTTGCCAGGTCCTTCCCAGGCCCACTGCAAAAGGCCTGTCCCCTCTGCCATTCTACACGGATTCCCCCTGCCGTAAGAACAAAGAGGGGAGCCTCCAAGACCTGACACCCCCAACTAAATCCTGCCCCCTGGGTTTAGTCCTTCATGCTGTCATGAAGGACTCCCTGAATCCTCCAGCCCCACCAGACGGCTCTTCCTCCAAGAAGGTGGCAGCCAGGCCCGGCACGGGCTGGATTTTTCTCAAGCAATTTGTTGGTGACAGGCCAGCTCCACAGGGACAGTTCTCATCAATAGCTTGATCTGTGAAGTTACCCTGTCACCTACCAGCTCTGTCTCGAAGCTGTAGATCACATCGGCACCGTGAGGCTGTCAAAACCTTCGCTCAGCCGACACCAGCTCCTTAGGGCTTCTAAAGACACCAGTCTTTGCCAAGACGTGGGCTGGGTATCTGAGTGCCCCCTTACAGATTCCCCCCACAGCCTCACTGCGGGGAAGGGAGGGCAGACGGGGGACGGCTGGAGGGACGGCACCGGGCGGGCCCGGAGGTGGCCAACTATGGCGAATGAGGAGATGGTGAAGCTCTAGTTTTGTAAAGATGGGGTATTGGCCTGCACTCACCGTCCCCAAACTCCCCATTGCACAGCCCAGGCCCCACGCACGTCCCCAGCCACAGGTGGGGCAAGGTGAAGGCCTTCACAGTCAGCTGCTGAGCGTCCTGCTCGGTGGGTCCCGGGAGAAAAGGGAGCAGGCAGCGGGAGAGTCTGTGTCCAGGGTTCCACGATTATTCGGACACGCTGTCACTGACAAAACTGCACCTTCAAATTCGCAATCCGAACCCCTGGCACTTCAGCGAACGTACGGCTGCGCTAGTTCTCAGGCCTGTGAATACCATGTGGCAACAGCGGCAGAAGCACAAGGTTTTCGTTTCACTGGAGCTCGGGAGCCGAGGGCTGGAGACCAGGTCCATCGGGCCCAGGCCTGGGGACTCGCTGTCCCCATCGTGCCAGCCTCTCTCCCTGCGGCCTCCCCCGCCCTCTGAAATCCTGCCCCTGCCGTTCCTCCTGCTGAGGTGGTCCCAGAGGCAAAGGTCAGAATGAACGCCTTTCTCTGCTTCCATGGCCAGAGTCAGACTGTTGTTACAGCCCCCGTAAGAATCTGCCTGGTGGAGGGGACCCTCGGGCACCCCGGTCCCCTCCAGTGGAGACCAAGACCCCCACTGCATCTCACATCCGTGCAAACTGCAGGGTTTAAAACCACAGAAGAGCCCAAACTTTTTCATTCCCTTCTTTTCCTTTCCTCTAGCACACAACGAGCCGGCTTCCAAGCAGGCCTTGGTAAAGAGGGTTTCTGATCCAACTGTTCCACTCTGCTCTGCCAAGGACGCTCAGGCACTTGGAAAGCATCCCCCGCGCCCCCTCCCCGCCCCCCGCAGTGGGATTTTGTTCCTTTTTGCTCAGGAAACCAGGGCTGATTTTCTGAGTTTCGAGAAGAGAACACGCTGTTCCGGTTGGAACAGACACAGTCAGCAGAGCAGACGATGTCCTCTTCTTGGAGGGGCCCCCCAAGGGTGAGCCCCCCCAGAGTGGAGGCCAAGGCCCCTCTACACACACAGAGCCAAGGACAAGGGTCTGACCCCCCCAAAAGGGCCCGAAAAACACACCCTGGCCCAAACTCAGCTGCCCAAGGCCAGCCCTGGGGACTTGGAGCTGTAAGGAATCACTCGGCTGAGGGCACACGCAGCCTGCCGTCCCCGGTGGGAAACGCCCCCATTCTAATGAGCACCTGCGTCTGTTTGTGCCTGGGGGGCGGTCAGGTGCAGGAGGGAGCTGGGAGGGGGCAGCGTTCTGCCCGGAGTGATTAGAATAAGAGACTGAACAAAATAAGGAGCCAGCTCCACATCCCCACGGTGTGGCCGGGAGCCCCCCGAGAGCCACGAGGGGACTTCACGGGGTGGGGTGCCCCAGCTCTGCGCCTGACTTTGGAACTGTGAGGTGGGCTGGAGGGGAGCGGCTTCGAGGATTGCTGTGACAGCGTCATCTACCACGGGTCCTCAGGTGGCCACACAAACAGCATTGTAAAAAGATGTCCCTGCCGCACACCTCGACCTCCCTGGAATGGGCCGCTGCTGATTTCGTCTGCACTCACGTTGAGCAGCCAGGACCTCTCCCCGGGGACTGGGGTCCTTGCGCCCTGGAGGACCGCAGGCCTGGAGGAGGACGAGAGGCTGTGTCCACAGCAGAGTCAGGATCGACCATGGCGTAAAGTGAGGACACTGTGTAAGAACTGGTCTCCTGTTTAACCCCGTTGCTCTCACAGGAAGCATGCAGGCCTTAAGGGTCTTCGAGTCTCATCTGTGCCCCAAACACGGTGACAGCCTCAGCCCTGCAGTGTGTCAGGGCTGGGTGAGCAGAGGACACTCAGGCCTGTTTCATTCTAACTCGCGGTGCGGCCTGATGCCGTGGCCCGTGACCCAGAAATCGCCCAGCAGAGGGCGGGCAGGGCGGGCGCAGAAGCTGGCACCAGCTGCGGCTCTGCGGGCAGGGGCAGCGCTGCTCTGTCACCGGGCAGGTGACCCGGAAACCTTGCTGGGAAAAGGACTGTGAAGAGGTCACCGGCAAGTTGCCCATCCATGCTCTGTTCTGAACACGTAATTCACTTGTTTCACTCACCTTTAAAATTCCGAAGTAAAGGATTCCTGCATTTCAAAACTTAAAGTGTGATGCAAAGTTTAAGCAGAAAAGCTGTTTTTCCGGGTAAGGTTACATTGCAAACCTGGAGGGAGACGTTTCCAAGGGCAGGGGCAACAGGGGGGACCTGCTCCAGGCTGGACTGCCCTTTGGTTCACCTTTGCGGACATCGAAGTCTCCAATGCACCATTAGCCGCGCGGGGCTGCTCCCGCCGGTAGATTGACCGGTAGAAAGGATGCCACGCCCACAGACGACTGGGATTCAGTTCCTCTCGTCCCAAAAGCAGTGCGTGTATCCCCAGGAAAACTAAAAACACAGGTAAGAAAAGTGGGGTGGGGGGTAGGTGACTGCACACTCAGCTGTTTGACTTCTTTACTTGACATCGTCCACCTGGCATTGGCAGAAGAACAATGGCCCCTGAAGGTGTCCACTCTGAAACTGGGATCTGCAGACATGTTAGGGCACGAGACCCAGGGGATCAAGGTTAGAGATGGAATCCAGGGTGCGAATGGGGTGACCTTGGAGGAGGGCAATTGCCCGGGTTCTCCAGAGGGCCGTTTTGTTTTTTTTGCCATCAAAATCTAGGACCCTGCTGTGCATAACACCTTGAGTAACTTCTTACTGAAGCGCAGCACCCGAACAGGACATCATAAACGCACGGCGTGCGGCCGAGCTGTCCCAGAGCACAGCTGTGTGGCAACGGCTCTGCCCCAGGCCTCTGACACAGCTCCCCCAGAGGTGTCCCTACAGGCAGCCCCGCGGGGACGCTTGTGTCGGAGCCCTGGTGTCCTGTCCGTGAGCTGTCAATCAGTCAGACCACACGCGCCTGCTTTCCTTTTATACTGAGGTGTAACTGATGCACAATGGAAGTCACGCATTTCAGGTCTGTTTTCTCCCACGCAGGCGCCCGTAACCACCCTGTACATCAGGACGAGGACCTGTCCCGAAAGCTCCCTCGCCCCATCTCGCCCACGCCCGATCCCCAGATCACCCGTTCTCCGACCTGCCGCACGGGGGCGCTGCGGCCCGGGCCGAGGCAGGGGGGGAAGGACATCACGCAGCGTGCGGGGACCTGCTGTCACCCTCATTCTCGGAAACACTGTAAGCTCCTTCCCACCGCCCCATGATTTAACTGACTTCCCCTTTTGGTCTCTGGCTGCTTCCACTTTCGGGCTAATCTTAAAAACCAAACATCAAAGCTGCCCAGGCTTCTTTCAGTGCAAGAGGGCACAGGTGTGTGGTGGGCACCTGCTGTCCTCACGCCAGCCACTTCCGTGACCGTTCGCTGCAGACTGAGCCTCTCCGTGTGGACGCTGAGGACCATCCCCCACAAAACTGAGTTCTTCCAGCCCGGAGACACAGGCCACTTCCTCTCCCTGCAATCTGGCCCCCAAAGGGCACTTCCTCTTGGAGCTCAGTCAGGGCATCTGATCGCTCCAGCAGACCGCTGCTCAGAGCGTCGTGTTCCAACACCGGAACCCAGCCCCCGTGCTCCCTGGGAGACAAAGACCGCTCCCCGGGGAAGACCAAGTAAACAAGCCCGCTCCTATTCTGGGCAACGTGGCACCGGTTCCAGGTGAAGCCGTGCGCCTGCGGCCGGTTCCCAGTATTGTGTGGTTTGCACAGGAAGTTCGGGATTGAGAGGGGCAGGGTATTCCAAGAAAAATATTTGCAAGCTGACAAATGATGAATTACGATACCATTTTCCAGAAATGTGCTAGAGAATATCAGCATTTTCTGCTCTCAAGTAAAGGCAGTGGAGGGCCATCTGCTGACCGGCAGGGAAGCCGGGGACTCGGGTGGCTGGCACGGGCAGTGTCAGAACGAGAACAGGTCGGA